CCTGGCTTGGGAAGATCAACTTTCATCTTCCCTGATACCTCAGTTGGTAAAGTATTGTCTTGCTTGGGCACAGCGGTGTGTGTGGGCTCAGTGGCTAAGTGTATCCAGCTTTTTTTGAGGCCCCGCGGACTGTAGCCTTTGTCCATTGACAGGTTCCTCCGGGGTGGGGGGCGATTTCCCAGGGAAGAATACAGGAGTGGGTGCCATTTTCTCCTCCAGGTTGTCTTCCCGATCCAAGGATGGAACCAGTGTCTCCTGAACTGGCATGGGGGGGCGGGGGTTATTTACTCTTGAGCCACCCAGGAAGTAGGGATATATCCCATTTTACCCATTCACATGTTGATGGATACAGGTTCATAGACAAGTCTTTATAAGAAACTGGGCCATCTTATCTCCTTGGTAGACACTTAGCGGTGGAACTACTGGATCTCAGGATGTTCCGATTTTAGAGTACTGCCAACAGTCGTTGAGAGTTTCCATTGCTTCAGACCCTTGCCAGGATTCAGTGTGATCATTTCAGATCACACAAATGAACAGCACCATGCAGTTGTTTTCATTTTAGACATTAAAGTAAGTGTGTGAGTGTATCTAGTTGCCATCCTAACTTTCAATTTCTGAGGGAATAAAGCCATGGGACGACTTTGGAGGTCTCCACTTCCCACTTGTCTATTTTCTTTGCTAAATATCTCTTCAAATCATCTGGTCATTATGAAATAAATTCTTTGTTTCCTTATTATGAAGGTTGGAGGTTGTTTATGCATTCTGGAAACAAGTCCTTTTTGAGATAGAAGGGCAAATATTTTTCCTCAGCCCCAGGCTTCTTCTGTACTTTTTAAGAGTGTTCCTCAAGTTTGTAAATATTTTTGTGTTGATCTAGGCCTGCTTACTAACATAGTGTCCCCTGTGAATGAATCTGACTTGGTGTATTTTCTAATCAGCAACCTCTTGGTCTTAAGTGACAGAATTTCCACCCATGTTTTACCTCTTGAGTCTTCCTTGCTTTGAAAGTGAAAGTCGCTCGGTCGTGTCTGACTCTTTGCGACCCCATTGGACTATACAGTCCTTGGAATTCTCCAGCCCAGAATACTGGAGTGGATAGCCTTTTCCTCCTCCAAGGAATCTTCCCAACCCAGGAATTCAATCCAGGTCTCCCACATTGAAGCCAATGGCTTCTTTACCAGCTGAGCCACAAGGGAAGGCCTTTCTTGTTTTAGGTCTTACATATAGGTCTATGAACCTCTCTGTTACTTCTAAAACATGGAGCAATGAATGCATTGAATTATTTGTTTTTGGCATGTGGATATCCCACTTTTCCAGCAACTTTACTCCATAAATTTCTTTTTTTCCACTGAATTTCCTTTGTAATTTTATGCAAAATTCGATTGGGTGTATATTCCTGTCTCTTTTTCTGGTTCAGGGTTTCTCTTGTTTTGTTTACCAGCCCCTCCCCCCCACCATTCTTTGTGTTTGAGACAGCATTTAATTAAAGATAATTAGAACATGAAGCTCATATGTCTAACCTTCAACACGTTTGTGTCAAAAGCATAAAGCGTTCATGGTTCACAAACTTCTGAGTATAGGATTGCTCATCCATTTATACTAGATTATAGTATTATGTTTTTCTCCTGATTTTCCCACAGAGCTATCTAAACCAGCAAGACAACATGTCTGCTATATTTTGAACCAAAAACAAATAATCATTGAATAAATGCTTGAGACTTGCAGAGTCTTCAACATAATCAGATAATCAGTTTCAAACATAAAGCTTTATTGACTTAAATAATTTGTTGTTGTTGTTTAGCAACAACTCGGTAGTGTCCAACTATTGCGACCCCAATGGACTATAAACCACCAGGCTCCTCTGTCCCTGGGATTTCCCAGACAAGAATACTGGAGTGGGTTTCCATTCCCTTCTCCATGGGATCTTCCTGACCCAGGACTTGAACCTGGGTCTCCTGCATTGCGGGCAGAGTCTTTCCCAACTGAGATACAAGGTGTTTTTGTTTAGTTATAATTACCTGAAGAACTCCTGTGACTTATTGAAAGATGTAATGAACAGTATGGTGACTGTTATTAAAATTGCACGTATACTTGTCACTCACTTAGAGCATATCTTTTGAGTGTTCTTACCTCACTCATGAAACACACAGACAGGGTTAAGTGTGTGAGCAGGTAGATATGTGTATGTACTCATTTCTTATTACAATCACAATGGCATTTACCCCTTGACTATACCTTCCTGATCCTTGTTGTTCTGTCGTTAATTCGTGTCCAACTCTTTGTGACCCCATGGACTACAGGGAGTCCAGGCTTCCCTGCCCATCACCGACTCCTGGCGCTTGGCTCAAACTCAGGTCCATTGAATCAGTGATTCCATCCTACCATCTCCTCCTCTGTCATTCCATTCTCCTGCCTTCAACCTTTCCCAGCATCAGGGTCCTTTCCAGTGAGTCATGCTCTTTTACTCCCTGCAAGGTTTAAGAGTTCATTGATCCATACTGATTAAACCCAATCCATAAATTGAGAATATACCTGCCATAGATTCCTCTTTTCCAGGATTTTATATATTGTTAGCTGGAGAAGATCCTTGAAAATAATTTCTAAAGACAAAAATTTTGCAATGGTTCCTATTTCCTGACTGTGACTTAAGTCATTATTTAAACTGCAAACATTTCACTTAAAATTCTTCACACTTATTTTAGTGGCCTGTTGCCCTGGTCACTCTTTTTACTGTAGCTCATGATTATATTTAATAGCAACTGTATGAACCTTGCTTTTTCATTCAATAGGAAGTCTGTTTATATTGCAAAAACTCGGAGTAATGTCTTTTTCCTTTAGCCTTATGTGAAAATGAAAGAAGGTTGTATCATTAAGACATTAAGACATGAATCTGGGTCTGTCCACACAGCAAAATCTACTTCAGTCAGGATAGCTTCGTGGTCATCTAGCAAGTGCTGTAGTTTTCGGCTGCCTTTCTCCTGTGACTTTCTGTCTCTTATGTTTAGTCAGTTCTTGATTTCATTTTCATTGGGTCCTAATAACTGAGAGCTTAGAGCTTCAGAGAGGGCAAGGTACACAGGTTCCCATAGACCTTGCCAGCAAAATACCTTGGGGTATAGGAACCCACATAGACCCCTAAATGAAATCCTTTTTTGGTTTTTTTTTCCCCTAAAAAAGTTTGTACTAAACGTGGAGCAGACCTTGAAATGGTTTCTATTGCCTAGTTGCAACATGCATTTAAGGATTTCCACTTTTAGACCAGGGAAGTTGAGAGATTGACAGTGGTGTTCAGATAAGGCATAGGTTCAGAGAAGGGCATTGAGGACTGGTGTCCCCGGTAATTAATCAGGTGCCCACAGCAGTGTGGTGGATGGTGGCTGAGAGGACAGATGCTTCTGTCCCAATTAAAGACCTAAAGCGTTCTTGTTTTCCTTGTACAAAATAATGCATGTGCCTTGCAACATGTAGTCTGAGAAATTTTTAGGTTAAGAATTCTTTACACCATATGTAAAATAGGTGACTAGTGCAAATTCAGTGCATGAAGTAGGACACCCAAAGCTGGTGCTCTGGGACAACTCAGAGGGATGGGAACGGGAGAGAGGTGGGGGTGGGGGTGTTCAGGGTGGTGGGGGGGGACCCATGCGCACCATGGCTGATTCACGTTGATGTATGGCAAAAACCAGCACAATATTGTAAAGTAATTAGCCTTCAATTTAAATAGATAAAATAATTAGAAAAAGTAAAGAATTATTTAGTACCATAACTCATATCAGGGTGTGTGTAGTCTATTTATGAAACAATGTAGAAAATTATAAAATATAATAAAGTAGATAACTAAAGAACACAAAGATGAACACACTACCAAGATTGAAAAAGTAAAAAAAAAAAAAAAGAAGAAGAAGAAACTATTTGGATTAAATACAGACAGATGACCAGTGTGTCTTTAATAGAAGTGTGGGTGTTTGGCCTGAAAGTTAGGTTGGCATCAGTATTTTGTTTGTTTGTTTGTTTGTTTGGCTGTGTCAACTCTTAGTTGCTCCAGGGCATGCGTGATCTTCGTTCTCTGACGATGGGTGGAACCCAACATTCTGCGTTTTGGAAGGTGGAGTCTTAACTGCTGGACCACCAGGACAGTCCCTGCATCAGTATTGTTGAATTTCAAGTCAAGAATCATGTAAGATTTGGTTCTTTACTCCCTGGAGGCTGCTGAAAATGTTGAAGCAGGAAGTGACAGTGAAGCATGTTTACCTGCATTCTGAACGAAAGGTGCCTTGGCCATGGTGCAAGCCGTGTTGCTAAGCTTCCTGGAAACGGTGGACTTGGATCTCAAGAATATTCACTTCTGATGAGGCACGGCAGGGGAGTGGTGTTTCATCTGAGACATAAAGTATCAGAAGAAAGTCACTGCTTCTGGGCTCCATTTCTGGCCTGCTGACCTCAGGTTACTGCGTAGTCCTCCTGAGGACAGGTCACCACGTGGCTGGCGGGATCCTGGCAATGGCAGTGGGCTGAGACACACCCTTCTGGGAGCCGAGCCCTGCAGTTCTTTTCTTTGTATTGGAGTTTACTGTGATTTGATTCCCTCCTGCCTCCCTTGCCTCTTCTCAGAACAGTGAAATATCCTTGATTTATTGTGTTGAGTTAGTTTGTGCTGTGCACTAGAGATTCAGTTATACATATATTCATATCTAGTGTTTTTCACGGAGAAGGGAATGACAACCCACTCCAGTACTCTTGCCTGGAAAATCCTATGAACAGAGGAGCCTGGTAGGCTAGAGCCCACAGTCACGAAGAGTCGGACACGACTAAGCAACTTCACTTTCCCTTTTCACTTTCATGCATCGGAGAAGAAAATGGCAACCCACTCCAGTGTTCTTGCCTGGAGAATCCCGGGGACAGGGGAGCCTGGTGGGCTGCCATCTATGGGGTCGCCCAGAGTTGGACGCGACTGAAGAGACTTAGAAGCAGCAGCAGCAGCGGTGTTTTTCAGATTCTGTTCCATTATAGATTTGATACGAGATATTCATTACAGTTCCTTTGTTGCTCCTCTCACTGCTTCTGGCTCACCCCTAGAAGGTTCTAGAACTCTGGTTGTCCCAGGATCCCATTATCTGGTAGCCTACCTGCTCCTGTAGTGAGAAAAAATGGATGGTCAGCATCTCTCTGCTTCCTTTAGAAAACTCAGAAGAAATAGCTCCGTGTCTCTATACAGTATAAGTGAAGCCGCTCAGTCGTGTCCCACTCTTTGCGACCCCATGGACTGTAGACTACCAGGTTTCTCTGTCCATGGGATTTTCCAGGCAAGAATACTGGAGCGGGTTGCCATTTCCTTCTCCAGGAGATCTTCCCGACGCAAGGACTGAACCCAGGTCTCCCTCATTGTAGGCAGACGCTTTACCATCTTAGCCACCAGGAAAGTTCTCCTATACAGTATAAGGATATGCTATTAGCCGTAATCCACTTATGTAGTGTTATCTACAGCCACATTTATCATATTTATATGATCAGCTAAGTAACACATGAATGAGAAGTACATAAGCATTTTGTGTATTTATTTGTGTTTGGCTGCTCTGGGTTTTGGTTGAGCACGCAGTCTTTCTGTACTTGCATTGAGCAGAGATTACTCTCTAGTCGTGGTGCAAGGCCTTTCATTGCAGGGGCTCCTCTGGGTTTGGAGGACGGGCCCCTGAATACGGGCTTCAGCAGTTGCAGCACATGGACTCAGTAGTTGTGCTGCCAGAGCTTTATTGCCCCGTGGCAGGTGGAATCTTCCTGGAGCAGTGATCAAATCCATGTCCCCCACACTGGCAGGTGGGTTCTGTACCATGAGGTCACCAGGGGCTTCCCATATTTGTTATTTATAAATGATGTAAACCATGGACAGGGAGGCCTGGCGTGCTGCCATTCATGGAGTCACAAAGAGTCGGACACACCTGAGCGACTGAACGGAACTGAAACCATGTAAGCGTTTCTGTATTTGAGCATATTTTATTATGTGAAACTCACAAATGATGAATTAAACAGTAAATATATATCCATAGTTATACACTGTTATTACCTTATACATTGGTAACACACAAACAAGCCTGAATCCATTTATAATGATGTGATTGATAACTATATTGCAAATTTTATGGAAACTAATCCTTGGAAGAAAAACTATGACAAACCTAGACAACATATTAAAAAGCAGAGACATTAGTTTGCCAACACAGGTCTGTCTAGTCACAGCTATGGCTTTTCCAGTGGTCATGCATGGATGTGAGAGTTGGGCCATAAAGAAAGCTGAGCACCAAAGAATTGATGCTTTTGAACTGTGGTGTTGGAGAAGACTCTTGAGAGTTCCTTGGACTGCAAGGATATCCAGCCAGTCCATAGTAAAGGAAATCAGTCCTGAATATTCATCAGAAGGACTGATGCTGAAGCTGAAGATCCAGTCCTTTGGCCACCTGATTGAAAGACCCAACTCATTGGAAAACACCCTGATGCTGGGAAAGATTGACGGCAGGAGGAGAAGGGGGCAAGAGAGGATGAGGTGGTTGGGTCGCATCACTGGCTCCATGGTCATGACTGAGCAAGCTCTGGGAATTGGTGATGGACCGTAAAGCCTGGCGTGCTGCAGTCAATGGCATCACAGACTTGGACAGGGCTGAACTGAACTGAACCGATCGATATATTTATAAATAAATAAGCAAGCGATAGTTACATTTATATTTATGGCATATTTATGCAATGGCATGGTTATTAAATTCATCTGGTGTAATACACATGTGCAGTATAAAAATTTGTCCTCCTACAAGTTATGTTCTCATTCGTCGTGAAGAAGAATTACAGAGACAGGAAATGTGGGCCCACCATCCCATAAGTAAATCCTTAAATACATTTTAGAATGCAAAAAATTTCGTTTCAACTAATCAATATACATGACATAGTTTAAAAAGTTATTGTTTCTCTGCACATATTAATGGAAGAAATGGCTCCCCTTTCAAGACACACAGTCTCCAAAGAATCTAGTGCATTGGGAACGATGGTGAGGTGTTTACTGCCTGGTAATTATTTCTCAAGGATTGAATGGCAGCAGCTGTCCCCCTAACTCAGCAATTCATGAACCTCCCATCTCCTGACCACACCCCCACTTCCTGCTGGCCTTATGAGTGAGTTATGGAAACTCTGAATTCTTCTGTGCTCGAGAAAAGTCAACCCTTCACTCGTCAGGTTATTAGAGAAACATCTGTAAAGTGTAACATGTGCGGTGTCTGTGTGCAATCTCGCAGTGACTTGTTCCCATTAGCTACAGAGTTGTCCCTGTGGTTTTCACTCCAAAACTAAGAAAAATGGGGCACAGAGACACATTCAAACACAGACACACACACACACACACTCATAGACACACAACAACACACACACAGACACACACAGGCACACACACACGGACACATGAACACACAGAGACACACCCACAGGGACATAGAAACACACACACACACACAGATGCACACACAGACCCAGACACATACACAGGCATGCACAATATTTTCATCATTGTAACTCTAGCAATTATCGTCCTCTTAAGTCAAAAGAGTTTATTAAAGAGTTGGGACCTCCCTGCCATGTTGATTATATTCTTTGCAGCCAAAGATGGAGAAGTTCTATACAGTCAGCAAAAGCAAGACTGGAACCTGACTGTGGCTCAGATCATGAACTCCCTATTGCCAAATTCAGACTGAAATTGAAGAGAGTGGAAAAAACCACTAGACCATTCAGGTATGACCTAAATCAAATCCCTTATGAATATCCAGTGGAAGTGAGAAATAGATTTAAGGGACTAGATCTGATAGACAGAGGGCCTGATGAACTATGGACGGAGGTTCGTGACATTGTACAGGAGACAGGAATCAAGACCATCCCCAAGAAAAAGAAATGCAAAAAAACAAAATGGCTGTCTGAGGAGGCTTTACAAATAGCTGTGAAAAGGAGGGAAGTGAAAAGCAAAGGAGAAAAGGAAAGATATTCCCATTTGAATGCAGAGTTCCAAAGAATAGCCAGGAGAGATGAGAAAGCCTTCCTCAGCGATCAATGCAAAGAAATAGAGGAAAACAATAGAATGTGAATGACTAGAGATCTCTTCAAGAAAATTAGAGACACCAAGGGAAAATTTCATGCGAAGATGGGATCA